CATGAGACACTCAGAGCCATGATAGGGAAAGACCACAGCCACAATCCTGGGCCCTTAACCCATTGCTCAGTAAACCCATTGTGTTTACTCTGAGGTAGATGGGGACTTGAAAATTGTTTTGGCTAAAACATCACAGTAACTAATCTCTTGGGCCTATGGATACCAAAGTATTTACTACTTACATAAAAATACTGTTTCCTTCCCTAATCTTTGTTACTTTCCATAAATAACAGAGATGAAGAACAAAAATATTATGCAAAGCTATTAATAGTGAAATCACAGGCCTGCCCAGTAGGATACTCCTGTCATTCCAGCTACTCTGGAGGATAAAGTAGGGAGATCCAAGTTCAAGACAAATCAATGACAACCTCTCTCTGATTAAAATAGAAAAGAGGCTGGGGATAGAGCTCAGTGGTAGGGTGAGGTCTCTGGCTCAATTCCACTACACAAAACAAAAAGAATTTAACTGCTGCAGCCTAAGGGAGGGTATAGGATTCATTTTCCTACCTTACACCAGGTGGGTCATGGTTTTTGTTGCCTCAGGTGACAATCACTGGATGGATGTAGAAGCATTTATTTTCACTGTTCTGGAGGTTGGAAGTCCACAAGTTGGCAGCCAACCTGGACTACATGGAGATACTCTGTCTCAAAACAAAATGTTCTTTTCATGCATTTTTTCCATACTAGGTATTGAACCCAAGGACCTCTACCACTAAACACATTATACAACCCTTTTTTATTATGAAAAGCTTAGTTAAAGGGGTGCTTTGGGAGGTTCAGAACTCATTATGGGTATTCCCATTATTTCTTATGGGAAAAAATAGTCTTGACTTACAACCAACTTGAGTTATAATCAGCCCTCATGAATAAATTTTGTTAAGTCAAGGGTCCACCACACTTGGAATTCAGATGCACCATGCTCTACAATGCTGGTGCCCTCTAATGGTGACACTGAAACATGCCTAAGGGAAAGAAGTTGCTGCCACTAGGGTCAGCCTTGGAGAGGCAACTTAGGGTCAGCCTTGGAGAGGCAACTTAAGGTCAACTTGAATGATGAAGGAAAGCAGGAAAGGAAATGGTGACTGTTCCCTGCTATTCGTTCAGGTTATCATCCTAGTTCCTGCTGCTATAGGCCCTTTAGGTTCATAGATGCCTTTGCTCACTGCTGACCAAAGGAGACCATGTATTTGGGTAAAAAGGAAAAAAGGATTTATTCAAAGCGAGCTCCAAGGGGGTGGAAGTGCCCATTTGCCTCAAATCACCATCTCACCATGTACAGATGTGTACCTGCTGTATCCTTCCAGCCATTTTCAGTTCATTCGCTCCTTTCTTGTGGGAGGGAAACTGGGTCCCAGCCTCCTCGAGCCAGCCTGTGTATAGTCTGTCATTTCTTTGGGACAGGGGAAAAGAGGGAACATTGGTTATGTGTTCAGTAAGGAAAAGTTTGGAGAAGCTACTTACCTCTAAAAGAAAAAAATCTAACTTTTAAAGTTCCATTTTACCTGCTAGTTACACCATAACCACAAAACCGGATATGAGACCTAAGAGGTGGTACATTCTAGGGTGGCATGGGAGAACTGGTCAGGCAAATAGCTGCACACATGCCTGTATGCGTGCCTAGGCACAGACAGACATGCACAGGTGAGTTTGTTTCACTTGTTCTCATGGAAGAAATTAAAACTTACAAATACAAAAATAAGTTTTAATTTTATAACTGAAAAGCTTTGAGATATAATTACGATCTACATTAATTCTTAGTGTAAACAAGGAGTAAATAAAATGTGAGTCTTTTTAGAGCATGGTTTTGAGCCAGTCGTATGATGGCAAGGTGTGACACAGGTCACTTGATGTTTAATAGGAGCATAGAAGATTTGTCTGCAAAAGCATTCAATGGGTTCATCTGTGCTCTCGATGACTTCTCTCATGTTTTGATGTCCAAATCCCTCCTCTGTAAGGAATCCATCATGTCCAAATCCTTACCCATATTTTTCCAGTCACGTGGAGCAATTCTCTGAGTCTGACTTTAACAATGGTTCCAGCAATTTTTTAGCACCACTTATGTTAACTACATGTGACCTGCCTTTTGGCAAACTTGTAGTTTTACTCTGCAATTTTATCAGAGGGATGATCAAGGGGACTCTAATTTTATAAGTGATCGGTGCATGAATGAATATTTTGATATAGATCAGCTTTTTTGTCTCAAAGAAGTGAACTTACAGAAATCATTCAGAGATAATTCATAGAAATAGACACCCCTCCACCTGATCTACAGAGTTAATTTGGCAGTAACTCAAAGTACAGATCTGGGCTCTCACTCCTCTCCCTTACGTTGCCCTCCCCTAACTCAGTAAACTCTCCGGCCCAATCAGATATTCTTAGAAATGAGAGGGTAACGTCCTAGTCATTATATTGAATTACAGATGCTGTGTTGGAGCTTCACAGCTCGGGAAGCACGGTGTGAGACTGGATTAAGTTGAGTGCCTCATTATCATTTGCCTTGGGCTGTTTATTGGTATAATGACAGTCTCATGCATTCGTGCCAAAAGCATGAATAACAGAGGAGTTTCCAAGAGCCTTCACAGTTATCATTTTAGCTGGGGAAAGGCATTTGAATGAAGCAAAAGGGGCACCATGGTTAATATGGTGTATGCCTTAATCACTAAGAACATTATCTGAATCAAGATTTAATGAATGTTAGCTGCCTTAATTTTCCTTTGGGGAAAGGAAGTTTACATTTTTATCATAATTAAGGTTCTCACAAATTGTGAGTTTTTACCTTCTGAGGTAGCTTTTATTTACCCTAATAGCTTTTATCCCTTCTTAGGCCCTTCTTTTTTCTTTTGATGTGTGGTGTGTGTGTATGTCTGTGTACGTGCACAAGCTCACACACACATGCCAACAGGAGTGCTTGGGATGGAACCAATAACCTCATGGATACTAAACATGTGCTCTACCACTCAGCTATACCTCTAGCCTAGGAACTGAAGCCCTTACATGACCAGGTCCTCTGTGGCTCTGTCTCAGTATCATGGAGCATTCAGTAGACAGCAAAACTAGTTCAAATCCTTTGCATGTTTTTCTTCAAAAAGATTCAACTAAACAGTCTAAAGTAACCTTATAAATATCTTTCTTTCCTTCCCACTGTCTTCATTATTTTCTGCAACTGCAGAGATTTTCTTCTCTTAAAACCTCCTGAACAAAAACTCAGAAAGTAAACATTATAATCTATTTATATGTAAAGTATGCTTCAATAAAAAGTGTTAATCAAATCCCCCAAAAAGTCCCTGAACAAAATTATTTGCTACTTTAATCTTTATAACTTTGCTTTCCTCTATCACTTATGTATTACTTAATTCAATTTACATGTTATGTCTAAGGCCTATCCCTTTTCCTCCAGCACCTGGCTTATCTTTCCACTGTGTTCCCAACTTTTGGATTATAAAAACCCAAGTGCATTGGGCTGGGATTGTAGCTCAGTGATAAAGTGCTTGCCTAGCATGTGTAAGACCCTAGGGAAGGGATTTCTGAAAATGGAAAAGAGACTGAGAAGAAGAAGAAAATCAAACTCTTCTTGGATGAAATTGGAAATTGGGCTTGGTTGGAAGGCTGGGGATGATTAATAGTTAATAATCTTTGCCACATCTAAGCCCATACCAATTATACAAAAGTATTCCCTAATTAGTGGCTGAAAAAGTGTTAGTAGATTGTTGCCTTTACTCCTATTACAGACTGTATTAGTCACTTTCCTATCACTGGAAAAAAATACCCGACACCTACAATTTAAAGGAGGTGAGATTTATTTTGGCTCACAATTTTAGTGGGTTCGGTCTATAGTCACCTGGCTCTAAGGCAGAAGGCAGAAATAGCATGGCAGAGGAAAGCTATTCACCACATGCGAGCCTGGAAGCAGAGAAAGAAGAGAGGAAGTGGGGATGAGAATATGTCCTTCCAGGTCACAGCCCCCCAGGGACCTGCTTCTAATGAGGTCTCACCTCCTAACACATTCAGCCATGAATTCCTCAATGGAAGAATCCACTAACGAGTACAGTGCCCCCTGATCCAGTCACTCTCCAAACACATGAGACTTTGGGGAACATTTTAGATCTAAACCATAACAGAGGAAAGGGTAACCTTTAGGGTATACATTGAGAAAGAATCAGTACACAGGCCGGGGATTTAGCTCAGTGGTGCCATGCTTGCCTCACAAGTTCAAGGTCCTGAGTTCAATCCCTGGAACCAAAAATAAATAAATAATCAGTACATATAAAAATTCAGAATTTCCCTCTGCTTGACTCAGCTCTGATCCCTCCCTGTGGATGAAATGGTGAAGCTTTCAACATTCTGCATCGTGACTTCTGAAATGGTAGAAGGGTATGTATGTGTTTGGAAAGAGACATCATCCAATGTCTTTGACCAACCACCGAAGACCAAGTCACTAATTGCACAATGTCAGGGAAGGACCTGAAGAGATTATTTCACTTGCCCCGATCCCCACCGATTATTTTTAAGGTAAGATATTGATGGAAGATTCAGAAAGATTATGATTTTCCCACAGCTGATCAAAATGTCCGAATTTAGATTCTTATCCTCTAGTATGCACAGAAGACGTGCAAGTCTGTCCTCACTATGAGCACCAAAAGATGCTAGAGACATGAGCTGGGTGCTGAAAGTCAGCAGGCTGCAGGGACCTTCCGTTTTCTGTCTTTGGTCTCTGACCTTCAGCTGGCCATGCAGGAACATGCCAAGGTTGCTGCCTGCCCCCGGAGCACACTGTGCCTGTCGGAGGTGCTGATTGATCAGCGAGCATCACCATAGGGCCTGACCTCCCCCAGGGCTTCTACTCCTACACAAGGGGGAAAGGCTGTACTCACTTCCTGCCCAGACCCCTTCGCAAAGGCACCAGGCTTCCTTAGGAGACCAGTCACTGTGTTTGCCTTTTAAGAACAGGGAAGGAAAACTGGAAATTCAGGAAATAGGTTTCTATAAAAATTGGTCAGTACTTGATAAAGGAAACAGCAGCCCACAAGAAATTTTGAGAATGTTTCCCTCATCCCTAGAGAAGCTTACTGCATTGCTCAGTATTCTTTAATTTCATGCCATTTCCCTAAACCAAATATTAAATTTCCCCCTTCAAGTGAGAGTAATAAATCACCGAGGAGAGAATTGGCAGCTCTTATTAAGGAAAAACAACCTGAGGTAAACATTAGCATAAGCACTGTCTCCCTTCTATTTCCACCCTGTGTTCAGGTATGTAGCACATGCTCTCCAATTTTCAGGAATCCTATTTAATAAATAAGAGAACTTAATAAAATGTCTAGCTATCTCCCATCTTATTAACTTCATCTTACATGTCAAATTACTTTTGTATATGTGGTTTGAAAATATGCTTGAAACAAGTCACTTGGTGTAATTCCAAAGACAAAGGAGGTGCTACAGTTTGGCTCTTAAATGTTCCCCAAAGGCCTGTGGGTTAAAGGCTGTCCCCAGTGTGGCTCTGTTGGGTGGGGATTGGGAAGGCTTTGCAGTCATTGGGTGTATGCTCTCAAAGGGGACACTGGGACCTGCCCTCTGCTTCCTCTGTCTTCACTTTCCCAAAATGAGAAGAATAGCCTTGCTATGCCAGGGATGTGCTGGCTCATCAAGGGCCAAAAGAGATGGCCACTGCCCATGGGCTGAGACCTCCAAAACTGAATCAAAGTGTTCCTCTTAAATTGATTACCTCAGGTATTTTGTTACAGGAACAGAAAGGTGACTCACACTGGAGAGAATATCCTTTATTCAAAGGAAAAACACATGTCTATTTTAAGAGGATATTTGTGTTAAAGAGGGAGTCATTTTAATAGGGTAGGGAGAGGTAGAGTCAACGGAGATTTTGGGGACAGACATAAGATATTTACATGAATAAAGTGGAACTCTTCAAAACAAACCAAAACGAGCAGGTTTATTTTCTTGGTCTGTACTCGTTTCACCAGCACTGAGCAGTTAGCAGGTGGCACTGTGGCTGAGTTCCTGGCTTCAGGGAGGGCTCCATTCCAAGGGCTCCCAGGTGGCCCCACAGACCTCTGCTTTCTTCAGGGAGCGCCAAGGGCGGCAGCTGTCTGGTCAGAGGCACACGGTCAGTCACTCCTCGTGGCTTCTCACAAGCCCATAGTGCATGGGTGGTGGCTGGGCCTGGCAGAGGGTCACTGCGGTTAGTGGGCTGAGGTGAGGCCCCTGGGCAGGTCACCTCCCAGGGCAGGCAGTGCGAATGCTGCAGAAGACCAGCAAGTCCTCACAGAGAAGAAGACCAGGATTTCCTAAAAGGCCAGGACTAGGACTTCGGAGACATTAAAGTGATGGTATGGGGTGCGGCTCGCCAGCCAGGTGCAGTGCCCAGCAGTGGAGCGGCGCCTTGGGCCTCTCCAAGGGCCGGAGCACCCAGGTCCACCGCAGGTCAGGTGTTTGCCAGCTGAGGAAGACAGTGCTTCTCAAAGTCAGATTGTTTCCAGACTCTCTGAAGACAGAAGCGAATAAAGCAGTGGAAAATGGACGGCTTTGTATTAGAAGAAGGAGGAAGAAGGTTTGGTATTGAGGTGCACCCGCCAGATCATTTTCTCGAGGCCTTTCATGAGTGGAACGCATTTCCACCTGTCTTGCTGTATGTCTAATGGAATGCCAGGGCGGTATCTGAGATTAGAGCTATTTCTCCAGTTCTTCCTTACTTATTTAAGAAAAAGTCCTCCCCGCTGCTTCCTACTATTCCGCAGGCAGCTTCTCAGCTGGTGAATGACTGCTGAGTACAAGGCAGGCCAGGTCGGGCTCCTGAGACTCAGAGAGGCTGAGCACATAGCTTTGAAGTCAAACTGCCCAATTTCGGTCCTTCCACTTATTAACAGATGAGCTTATACCCTAATCTCTCTTGGTTTACTTGTAAAAGGGAAGGTGGTGGTGGCGGTGGCGCCACCTTCAATGCAATTATTCTAAGTGCTCAATGCGTAAATACAGGTAAAGGACTTCACCTTGCCTGGAACGTAGCAGACAATTGTATATAAAGGTTAGATTTTTTTTCCCCACTAAAATTCAATGTAGGTAGCTTCTCTTATAGGAAACTCATTGTATCCCGATTTATATTTTCAATTGCAGACTGGAAATGCATATGCTTTCTTCAGTTCTGTAAGCTACTATAAAGCTCAAAAGTCTTAGCAAAATCAGTCTTGGACAGAAACGGAAATCGTTGAGAGGAATGATTCTGGATTGTGGCTACACATGGGACCACCAGGGGGCGCTTTAAACAATACCATTCCCAGACCTGGCCGCAAACAAGATCCCAGAGTGGGAGCTGCAAGGAAGCGACCAGCTGACTGAAGAGCTTGCGGAAGGGGAGATGTGCCATCGATGCCTCAGACAGAGGACTCACACCTAGAATACATACGGAGCTAAAAAAAAATTAGACTGCTCCAAATAAAATACCTAGTCAGAAAATGAGCTACTGAAATGAAGACCCTGCTAAGAAGCACAAATAGCTCATAAATACATGAGAAATGCTCAACATTGCTGGCCATCATAGAAACACAAATTAAAACAAAACTGAGACTGAGATGCTGTCTGACTCCAGAAAGAATGGCTACCATTAAGAAACCAAATAATAACAAATGCTGACCAAGCTATGAGGAAAAAGGTTATCAGTGGGAATAAAATTAGTACAACCGTTACAGAAATCAGTATAGGATTCCTAAAAAATTAAAAATAGAAATTCCACTCTAAATTAAAAATAAAAATTCCCTTTGTAGGTATCTTCCCAAAAGAGTTAAAGACATCATATTACAGTGCACATCCATGTTTATAGCGGCACAATTCCTAATAACTAAATCTTAGGAGCAGCTATATGTTCAGCAACAGATGAATAGATAAAGAAAATGTGGTATTTACACACAATGGAGTGCTACTTTACCATAAAGAAGGTCAACTTGAGTCATTTGGAGGAAGATGGATGCACCTTCAGATCAGAATCTTAAGTGAAATAAATCAGACACACAAGTTTACATATCTCATTGTTTTTCTTATATGAGAAATTCAACATATAAATAAAGTACAAAACAAAGATAGCAAGAAATGGGGAGGCAGATCTTTTGCAAATGGGAAGAGGACCAAGAGATAAAAGGAATGGACAGAAAGGGAAGGGGTAGGGGATGAAAAAAGAACTGAGATGTGTTATGTACATATATTTTTCTCCATAAGGAATGTGAGCATTATGTAGTAAAGAACAGGTACAAATAAAAAATAAAAATTGAACAACAACAAAGGATGGGAGCTGGAGACTGGGAGGTGGCGCATGTTGTAAGCCCAGCACTCTGGGGCAGTAAGGCAGGAGGATCACAATTCCAGCCCAGCCTGGGCAATGTGCAGAGACCCTGTTTTTAAAAAAAAAAAGATCTAAAAAAGGGCTGAGGGTGAAGGCCTTGATTTCATTACTCAGTACGGGGGGGGGGGGGATTGTATTTGTTATTCTGAAGTATAACAAAGACTGCAGTCTTCCCCAAAATGCAGAAATTTCATTCACCAAACTCTTTCTTATATTTCTATCAACAGTATTCACCTTGTAGAAAATTAAGTATTCTTTAAGTTTAATTAATATAAGCAGACTATTCCAACTGAACATATCCATGGTTTATTTTCAAATTCAAATTTCTCACCTCTTCAAATTGTTGACAAAAGGTATGGGAAACCAATAGATAAATGCCAAATATAATGAAATATTTCTGCAAACTATCTAAGCTTTTACTGCCATTTCAGTGAAATGAAATGAAATACTTAAAAAGCAAATTTAATTCATTAGCAATATATAATTCAGCTATCATCACTTTAGATTAAGGCATAAAATAGTATTTCTGTTTTAAAAGCTATTTGGGAATCTGCCTGTACATGATCAATTTCACATATTTCTTTTAGTATTTCATTTATTCATCTATTGCCAGTTGTTTAATAAACTACAATCAAGAACCAGTGACAAGCAGTGGGCTATCAACACTAGTAAGTTCAAAATCCAAAGCTGGATTTAAGACGTTATATTTTGCAATGCACCACATATTTTTTCCCTCAATTATTGATTGTATCATACATTAGCAATTAAGTTGATTCTTAAATAGATCCAATATATAAGAATCTAATGTTTTAATTCAGGTAAACAAAGTACTGGGGGGGTCACTGGATTTTTTGAAAGAGTGACATTTTCTAGTCTAGTTAAAATG